GAAAGTGGCAATTTGCACACTTTTAAGCTAATAAATTTAAGCGTAAAACCGATCACTTTGAGAACAAACCGGGAATTTCTCCTCTTTTTCTTCCCCGCAAATCACAATTTGTAGCAAATGATCACACTAGCCACAATGATCAAAATCGTGTATCAAAACTAAACGTTTCTTTTCTTTTTCAAAGTTCTTTCTGTGACAACTCACTAATCGATAATGAGACATCAACAGCTTCCATATCATCGAAGATGTGAAATAATTGTCTCCAGCTGAATCGGATTTGAGTACGTAATGCAAAGGATTTTCTAGACGGAGTTCAAGCCGATGGTCGACTTCTGACTGTTTCTGAAATATTCGAGCAGCTACAAAAACATTGAAAATATGGCACTCTAGCATTTTTTTCATACTTACATTTCTTTTTTAAAGTACCATAGTTTCCCTCATATTTCCAGACTGTTTCTGTACTAGATTTAGCTCCTAGTACTAGGGTTATATCTGGCGCACTAGATTTTTTGGAGATCTAGTACTAGGTGATAGTGTCTGGTACTAGGAGGTTTCAGATCTTGCTTCCCCAATTTGCATTGTTTCTGCACGATTTTACTATTATTATGGCTTAGGAGGGTTTATCAACAACAACAGGTCTGGTACTAGGTTTAGATCTAGTACTAGGCACTTGGTCTAGTACCAGGTTAGGATCAGTACTAGGTTTGGATCTATCCCGTGCTTATAATCTTATCAGTTTTTTTTTAGCTCTATTACCAGGTTTAGTCTCTAGTACCTAGGTTTAGCTCTGAGTACTAGGTTCGGATCTAGTCCTAGGTTTTCCATCGAAATTACTAGGTTTTGCTCTAGAACTAGGTTCCAGATCTAGTACTAGTTTGTGATCTAGTACTAGTTTGATCTGAATTGTGTTTACAATTTTTTGGCTCTAGTACTAGGTTTAGATCTAGTACTAGGTTTAGCTCTGTACTAGGCTTAAACTTAGTTGCGCTGGGCAAACCCAGATCAAGCCTCTGACCTGCACTGGATTAGACTATTTCTCGATCATATTTCAGTACTTTTTTAATGTTAAATTTGATATTCAAATCAATCCCACCTTCATACTTGCACAGAAATCGCTACGCATGGCGCTGGTGGAGGAAAGGAAGCTGGTCCTTGCTTAAATACTCGTTTCCGGGGATTCTGTGGCCATTTCTGAATTTCCAATGAAGTGTTAAAGGTGTCCAGAGTTGTGGAGAGCTTTCAAAATCTCTAAAATATTAGATTTTGTGCGCCGATAACCTCGTTTAGCAACAGAAAAAAGATAGGGAAATTAGAAATATTAGGAGATGAGATCGGTCTGAAAAGAAAGAAAAAAGAACGAAAACTTTGCATAATCTCGAAGCTAAATTACATGTTGATTAAGAAATTAATGATAGTTTTTTTCTTAAAGGATAAAATTGCTCAATTAATTTCAATTTTAGTGCTTTTATATTTGAAGATTTTAAAAGTTAAACTGCTTTTAAGGTCTAAAATAATACTGGATAGGAAAGTAAACAAAAATCTTTTGAAAATCTCGAGAAAGGTTTTGATTTAACTTAAAAATCATCTTCTTTGCGAGTTTAAATCAAAAAAAATAATAATGTTTAGTTAGAAAAATAAAATAAAGAGCAACGATTAGAACGTTAAGAAAAATCAATTGCCAAGTCCACGGATCTTTGGGTAAAATGGGGTAAGGAGATGGCGAGAGAATGGGCAAAGAGAATGGGGATGAGCGAAAGGACAACGGGGTGATGATCGAGGGAGTGGAGCGGCTGTTCTCCCTCTTTCCCATCTCCTGCGCAATTTCTCATTGCCTTTCCTGATCGCCATTAGATGCTTTTCCTTTTCTTCTCCTTTCTCTTCTCGCTCATTTTTTACTTTGCTACTGTTGTTGGTTTGTAGCCAGCGCTTTTCATCAATCACTCCATAGGCGGGATGGTGAACTCGTCTACCCCGTAGAGATTCTAAAAAACCTCTTTGATTTCTAGTAAACTTTGTATATTCAATATGTTTGTTTATTGATAAATTCAAGAATCGATTTTGGTTACATTTTCTGGATTTTCTGGATTTCTGGAATTTCTATTAGGTTTATGAAAAGTAATCGACGTTTTTTATTTTATTTATTTTTCAAACTAAATATATGATCTTATTGACGATTTTATTCAGGGACATGAAATAAAGCGTAATCAGTCAGACAATACACAAATCTACACATAAATACATAGAGAAAGATGAGATATTTTACCTGATGATGTGGAGTAAGTGGGGTAAAAGAAGATAGATAGACAGATAGGCTTCTTGCTTTAATAACCCTCAGGCCATGAATCGGCCAACCCAGTTGAAGAGTGAACCTGCCAGAGAAGGGACCTTCAGTCAGCTTCTAGAGAAGACACTTGGGGTCTGGGCGCACGGGTTAGGGAAGAGAACCCTAGGGGGGCTGAACCCAACACCCTCAGCGCCTGGAAGTGAGAACTTAAACAGCACACCATGAGGGATTCTATCTACCAACGACTTTGATTTCTTTGTTATGATATATATATCGTTTAAAATTATATTTCTTTCCTCTTTCGAATGATATATTCAGTTTTGCCAAAAGAGATGACAATAAACTCATTTTTACTTTGGCTTGAAAATGGTATACACAAGTATCGTTATTCGGTCAATTTTGTTTTATGAGTTCAAAAAATGTTGGTGTTGAGGTGAATATATTGCACGTCGAATTCGGAATATGTGTTTGGCGAAGACGCCGCTGGCTGATGATACCGCTAGGTTTTTGGTTCCGACGATTCAAAAGGTGGTAATGAAAACCTCAGAAGATGAACCACGTGGCGGAGACCTGTTCTGATGACCGGGAATAGACGCCGTCTTCTCGAAAACCCTCGTTCAACTCTCTTCTACAGAAATAGACCTACATTAATTGCGGGATGGATATCAACCAGAAGGGAAACGCTTGAATGCCATGAATTTTATCAAAAAGTTGACAAATGAATACTGCATGAACGATGAGACAAGGCGATCACATGCCCTTTACAAATTCCAGACAAAATCCAGACTGTTGATGGGGAGGTTTACCACATCCACCTTATAGTCCACCCTTTCTCCATCTGATTATTATTTACTTTTTGTCTCTGCCTAACTTTTGGGCCAATAAACGGTTCATCTCCAAAGAATGATGTCAAAAACTGAGGTTTTCGATTTTTTCTTCACTTCTATGACTAGTATTTTACATTTTTTTTGAACGTCTTTACTTGTAGAACGTTGAGGTAAAAGTGTTTTTCTTTAGAATTATGGGATTACTAGGTGGGACAAAAATTATTTTAACGTGAAACTTATGGTCTTTATATATTTAAACAAGAAAAAAACGTGGATTATTTTTCACACACCTAATAGAACTTGGATTTTCCAACTGAACCCTAGAAGACTTCTATATAAGATGAATAAGTCAAATTCATTGTAAAATATATCTGATTTGCGCCTCTGATTTTTGGGAGTTTAATGATTCTTGACCGAGATCATCCGGAAATGGGAAGCGATATATTAAGAGGATTTATATTCAGGAATGGGAGTTGATGAGTGTTGCCGGAGCTTATATACGAGCGAGCGTCGGTTTATATAAGAGCGTCGACTTTATAAGAGTATCGGCGCTTACACGAGCGTCGGCTTATAATGAGCGTTTGCGATATAAGTAAGAGTGCTAGCCTTATATACTTGTTGCCGTCGACTGTATATAAGAGCATCGGCTTATATACGAGCTGCCGGCTTATATACGAGCGCCGGCCTATATAGAGCGTCGGCCTATATACAGCCACCCTGTATATGAGCGCCGGCCTATATATGAGCGTCGGCTTATATACGAGCGTCGACTTATATAAGAGTGCCGCCTTATATAAGAGCGTCGGCTTATATACGAGCGTCGACTTATATAAGAGCATCGGCTTATATACGAGCGTCGACTTATATAAGAGCATCGGCTTATATACGAGCGTCGACTTATATAAGAGCCGGCGCCTTATATACGAGCTCCGCTTTAGATTCGAACGCTGCCTTACATACGAGTGCCGCCTTATATACGAACACCGCCTTATATACGAGCGCCGCCTGATATACGACTCCTTTTAAAGATATTCAACCGTTGAACTGATTTGGTGGCAAATTCCCGTCAAAAAAAATTCTGTTTAATAAAACTAATAATATTGCAACTAGACTCTGCTAGTGTTTTGTAAAACTGGAACCCAAAAAAAGCTTCCCTACTCTTGCTTTTTTCTTTCTGTCTTTTTAAACTTTTGAGTGGCTAATTTTTGATTTTCTGTAAGAGACATTCACCATACACTTTTGACTCAAGTCTGCTTTCTAAGAGGCAGATAATTTGAAAAACTATCGTAATCGTAATCGGAATCGGAATCTTTTCTTCAGGTTTTGCCCGTTCTACTTAATTTTGATTCGCTTCTATTTGCAGCTTGATTTCTCATTGAATCTGAATAAAAGATTAAATAAAAAGGTTACGGTAATTTCCGAAACGTTTTAGAGAACACATTACTTTTCAATCTTTCAGCCAGACACCGTTCAGTCATTCAAGACAGCCATTCAATTTTTGTCGTCGAACAATTTATCCAGAATAAAATTCAACATCATTAACAACTGATTAAATAGCCAGCAAGAATTGTAGGGTATTGTAGGGTTGTAGGGTAACAAAGAAAAGAAAGAAAAGAAAGAAGAAAGAAAGAAAGAAAGAAAGAAAAGAAAGAAAGCAAGAAAAAAAAAAAAGAAAGAAAATGCTAAAGAAAACGCTAAAGAAAATGATCTAACCTCAATTTAAGCACCATTAACAATTGGAGAGAGAAAAAGAGAGAATAATGCGTGGAGTACACGTAAATTTCAAAGATGATATGAAATGACTAGAATTCGATAGAGATATTCAATTAAAGCTATAGAAAATGATCAAAGATCAAAGATCAAAGAAATCGTTTTTCTTGTTTCAATTAGAAAAAGAGATATGTGGGATTCATGACAGTTTCGCCGATCGAGTACTCTTCTGCTCGTTCCTCAAACTCGGCTCCTGGACCATATCTGAAGTTTGAACATCGATTTAGATTTAGAACAAGATTTCGATAAGTATTTATCAAGACTAAATATCTTTTTTAAGTGCTATCTAAAAAATTAGAAGAAATAGGTATACAAATTTGATGATAAACCTGTGCCAAAACTCGGGTGACCAAAAGTGCAACGGTCGAATGCAGTCTCCGCCCTCTGGACTGAAGTCGAAATTGTAGCTAAAAGTTATTTGATAAATAAAATGCCTTTTTTTATTTAAATTTAAAGCTTTCATGCATAGTAGCAGATCTAGTTTACAATGTTAAACTAAAAAGGCTAATGATTAGAGTGTGTTCCTCGGGTGATCGGACATTTGATACGCCCCCCCTTTTTGCCATTAGCAATCTAACTTTGAGCTTAAATATCTTGGTGTCGAGTTATTTTAATTTAAATATTCTTGTTATCCTCAGATGTGCCAAGTCTTTATCTGTCGATTGGTACAAAAACTATTTAAATTGGACCACCCAACACCAAGAAATTAGAGCTCAAAGTTGGATTGCCAATGGCAAAGGGACGGGGCACCTTATATACGAGCTCCGCTTTAGATTCGAACACCGCCTTATATACGAACACGGCCTTATATACGAACACCGCCTTATATACGAGCCCCGCTTTAGATTCGAACGCTGCTTTTTTATATTATTATTAGTTTATATAGAGTTTTTTTAAAGTTTTTAAATTTGTATTGATTATTATTAAAAAGTGGGAAAAGGTTTTCCTTATATACGAGTGCTGCCTTATATACGAGTGCTGCCTTATATACGAGTGCTGCCTTATATACGAGTGCTGCCTTATATACGAACACCGCCTTATATACGAGCCGGCGGCTTATATACGAACACCGCCTTATATACGAACACCGCCTTATATACGAGCCGGCGGCTTATATACGAGCCGGCGGCTTATATACGAGCCGGCGGCTTATATACGAGCCGGCGGCTTATATACGAGCCGGCGGCTTTAAATATACGAGCCGGCGGCTTATATAACGAGCCGGCGGCTTATATACGAGCCGGCGGCTTATATACGAGCCGGCGGCTTATATACGAGCCGGCGGCTTATATACGAGCCGGCGGCTTATATACGAGCCGGCGGCTTATATACGAGCCGGCGGCTTATATACGAGCCGGCGGCTTATATACGAGCCGGCGGCTTATATACGAGCCGGCGGCTTATATACGAGCCGGCGGCTTATATACGAGCTCCGCTTCAGATTCGAACGCTGCCTTACATACGAGTGCCGCCTTATATACGAACACCGCCTTATCTACAAGCCGGCGCCTTTGATACGACTCCTTTTAAAGATATTCAGCTGTTTAACTGATTTGGTGGTAAATCCCCTTTAAATGTAAAGATATTCAATTTACTCGACGTGTAAAGAGGATTACTCGTAGTTACTCGACCAGAAACGTCGATTAATCGAGTGGGAATTACTTATGCAAATTTTGACTCGAGTAATTACCTACTCGCAAGGAACACACTCTACTTCTTATCATCACTTTATTAGAGCCAGAGAGCGACTAAATTTTAGAGAATTTCTACATTTTCTACACACAGCGATTTGCTATAAATCAATGCTAAAACCCACTTGTGAATCTGATTGTCGAAATGAAAAGTGATGGTGATATTGTTAGCGTTCCATGTGTCGAACCCGACATGCTCGTTGCCTTTCTCGCCAGCGAAAAGTCCAACAAAGGAAAGATTCGTGCAGAGTTGCTTCTGAAATTTGAAATTTGAACACAAAAAAACACTGAAATCTGAACTTAATTCAAACATTTTAACCAAATTCGATATTTTCTATATTTTCTTGAGCAAATCTTGAACAAATCTTCTCGAACCTCTTTGCAATAGCCGCTTCCCTTGTGAATGTGGGAAGAGGCTCGTCTCTCCTCTCTTCATCACGTCACCCCTTTTTGTCAACGCGAATTTCTCGCTTTTCTCCACGATTTCTCGGTCGTTGAGCACGAAAAATTGAATGAAAATTGGCTCGGTCGTGTCCGCATATAAACAATCGGCTGTGGTCAGTTCGATCTAAAACTATTCGATAAAAAGTTTCTTGAGAATTTGTGCTGAATAATCAGCTAAATCAGCTAAATACCCAGTTTAAAGTAAGAAAAAAACGTGAAATCATGACTTTTAACAATTCTTGTCTTGCCTGAATATCTTTTCTTTCCCAAATATGCTTATATCTTGTTAAAATGCGTTCATCCCGGATCTTTTTTTAGTCAGTGCTCAAGTTTGCTATTGTTTTTGAACAAGCGATCGTTCAATCTGACTTTTGTTCCAAATTAGCATCGAGTTAAGCTACGAGACCTAGTGCATCGGATTCTACGCAAAGTTCTGAGCAAAACCCATTTTTAAAATCAATTCAATCGGCCCTTTAACCCGGGTAAAAACACGTTTGAAAATTGGAAGCGCGAAAAATTTACTCGATGATGTAAGCCTTCCGTCATCGGTTATGACAGATGACCGGGTGGTCTATCGGATAGTGTGCTCGATTGCGGAACTATTCCTCGCGGGTTCGGATCCCCTTGCAATCAGAATTCACGCTGTTTTTGCAGGTTTTGTTTGGATTTTGTTTATGAACGAGCGATTTGTTTGTTCAATTTGAATCCTTTCACATTTCTGGTAATTTGAATTCGTGCAAGTAGTCGGTTAAAGTTAGACATGACTAACGATATCTTGGGGTTGCTCTTGCTCCCGTTCGAACATCGGCACATTGAAAGTTGTTAGCAATTTGAAACTTTTCTGGTTAGAAAGCCAAGATTATTAGCTTCATTTTGATACTAAATATTCAGCAAAATTCTTTAAAATAGTACTCAAAAAGTCATAATAAACCTTAAAAATACTACCCTTCACGAAACCTTGTTAAGGCCTCGTTAAGGCCTGGTTAAGGCCTCGTTAAGGCCTCGTTAAGGCCTCGTTAAGGCCTTGTTAAGGCCTCGTTAAGGCCTCGTTAAGGCCTCGTTAAGGCCTCGTTAAGGCCTCGTTAAGGTCTCGTTAAGACCTTGTTAAGGCCTGGTTAAGGCCTCGTTAGGGTCTCGTTAAGGCCTCGTTAGGGTCTCGTTAAGACCTTGTTAAGGCCTCGTGAAGGCCTGGTTAAGGCCTCGTTAAGGTCTCGTTAAGACCTTGTTAAGGCCTTGTTAAGGCCTGGTTAAGGCCTCGTGAAGGCCTGGTTAAGGCCTCGTTAAGGCCTCGTTAAGGCCTCGTTAAGGCTTTGGAGGCCTCGTAAGGCCTCGTTAAGGCCTCGTTAAGGCCTCGTGAAGGCCTGGTTAAGGCCTCGTTAAGGCCTCGTTAAGGCCTCGTTAAGGCCTCGTGAAGGCCTGGTTAAGGCCTCGTTAAGGCCTCGTTAAGGCCTCGTTAAGGCCCCGGAGCCTGGTTAAGGCCTCGTTAAGGCCTCGTGAAGGCCTGGTTAAGGCCTCGTTAAGGCCTCGTTAAGGCCTCGTTAAGGTCTCGTTAAGACCTTGTTAAGGCCTTGTTAAGGCCTTGTTAAGGCCTGGTTAAGGCCTCGTGAAGGCCTGGTTAAGGCCTCGTTAAGGCCTCGTTAAGGCCTCGTGAAGGCCTGGTTAAGGCCTCGTTAAAGCCTCGTTAAGGCTTCGTTAAGGCCTGGTTAAGGCCTCGTTAAGTATCAATAACCTCCTTAGAGTTTTTTTTTGAAGATTTTTGTTGAATGTTCGGTCTCAAAATGAAGCTCATAATTTAGGCTTTCTGATAGAAAAAGTTTCAGATTGCTAGCAACTTTCAGTGCGCTGAAATGACTGACTCAAACTTGAAGCCTCGTTAAGCCTCGTTAACAAGTCTATTTAAAGTCAAATACAGATAACACATCAATAGTGGTTGGTTAAACGAGTTTTTTTGTACAATAAAGTGCAAAAAGACCGAGAATCTTGAACAAAATCCACATAAACTCGTCTTAGAACAAGAGCCTTTTGATGTAACAATGGCAAATCTACCTACAAAGCTACAAATCTAGAATCTACAAATCTACAAATCTATGCAAGAAAAGTAAAACTTGCACTTTATCAGTGCAAATCTAGCGTAACCTTTGCCCTTTATCAGTCTAAAAATGAATCCAAAGCTTTTCCTTGAAGAGAACATTGATTGAAGCCGATTTCTAATGGATTGAATAAATTGATTGTCTCTTTATTGATTGTCTCTTTATTGATTGTCCCTTTATTGATTGTCTCTTTATTGATTGTCCCTTTATTGATTGTCCCATCAAACGGTGTCCCTTTTGAGTAATAAGCTTCTTTCCAAAAGTCTTTTTAAGCAAACTATCGTAATCAAGCTGTTAGTTTACATCAAATCCGCCTAAATTTGATAAAAATTTACATCAAATCAGCCAAAATTGACTATGAAACGTGTTTCTCATCAAATTCTATAAAAAATAAGCTGTTTGGATGAAAGTTAGCCGTTTGCTTTATAGAATAGACGTCAAGAGAAAAGGAAATCCAAAATTAATAGCCAAACAGCTTAACTGTCGACTTTTGTACTTGAAAAAGAACTTTCTTGTAGAAAGTTGCAAAGCAAAAGTCGCTCAATCGCTTCACAATCGCTTCACAAAAAAAACCCACACTGATCTCATTTTTTGTGCAAATTCCGCTAGAAAATATGGTGATTGTAGAGAATAAAGAAGTCAAGTAAGATTTCATCATTTCAAATAAATGAAAAGATCTCAGATTGGGATCCAGATTTGGGATCCAGTTCTTTGAGTGGGCCCCCAACGGAAATAGATTTCAGAAATCTGTGAAAATGAGAACAGACGTGTTCCCTTTCGCAAATAATCCTTTTAAAATCTCTTTTTCTTTCTTTTTCTTTCTTTTTCTTTTTTTCTTACGATCATTCCATTTAGAGATTGCTGGTAATAAGAGATGGGCGGATTCTTTTTGAATAAAAAAAAGCAAAAAGATTGAAAAGATTGAAAAGGCTCAAGGGCGGGTCTTTTCTCTTTAGTTTTTCATTTTTTTTTTTGGTTCATTCATTCGAAATTTTTGCACTTTTTGCACGCTCTGATTGTCTGGAAGAGAAATGGAAAAATAAGGGAAATGGAAAAAGCAATGTTGCATAGAATACGGTAAAAATACTGGTGAAGAAAAGAAAATTCTTTTGTCAATAAAGAAAATCAACTGTTGTCAGCTAAACTGATATTTTGGAGTCGCCCTACTCAACTCTTTCACGCCCTACTCTTTCACTCATTTGTAATCTATTCGTCGTATCGTACTACTGTAAGATATGTATCTTCTGGGTCTATGAAACTGCAGCTGAGGTCGGTGATTTCACAGAGACTCCTCTCTAATACCCTGGAGGAGTTGAGTCGGGTTGTTGGGGTGTTAGAGATGGCAGGATATTTAAAGGGGATCCACTCTCTTTAAATTAACCCAAATTCTAGTCCATATCCCAAATTCTAGTCCATATCCGTTTACTCCTTACTCCTTAGTCCGTCTACTCCATACTCCTTAATCTGTTTACTCTTTACTGCTAGTCTTCTTTCCGGATATGAACTATTCTAGTCCAGATCCGGAAGCGAACGCGGTGATCATTCATTCAAAAGTCTTCTTTAACAGTCTTTTTTAGAGACTGGAGTTAGAGAATTAGACGGTGACACTGGAGTTCAAATAACTGAAACCTTAACTCCTAGCTGAGATCAATTGGCTGATGATCAATTGGCCGCGGAATGTGATGCCGATTTTCTTAAAACAGCTTTAGAATTTGTCTTTATTGATGGAAATGTTGTAACTGCAGGGATTCAAAGTTTGCAAGAGATATTCGGCTCAGTAAAAGGCATCGAAACTAGATATTTCTTTGGAAATTGATGACGAAATACTTCAAGAAGAACAAAAACATTCAATAACTCGTAATGAAGCATTTCAAGCATTTCAAGCATTTCATTTTCAAGATTGCAAGTGATATTTCAATCTTTCAATGAATCTTTCAATGGCTAAGCTGATTTTTATTTCTAGAATTTGTAGAAAATGCAGCTAAAGTTCGAATTGTTTTACTGGTGATTCAGAATTTTGAAATTTTACGATCTCCAAAGATCTCCAAAGCATTTCACTCACCGTGATATGATTGTGTCTGTAGAACGCGTGACCCATCCCTATCAGAAGCAATAAAAATCGCAATACGGTGAAAAAATCCCGTAACATTTCCCCAATTTGAACCAAAGGAATTTGAACCTGAAAGCTGATCAGTGAATTTCCAAAGCATCAACAAACAATCAAGGATTCAATCAACAAACAATTCAACAACAACAACAACAACAACAAACAATCAATAAAACAATCAAGTATTCAAGAATATAAAGAATAAATGAACACCGATGAATGTCAGCAAAAAGCCAACCATTCATCTTTCATTACTCATCGAATCGTTTTTTGGTGGTGAATGAGAAATGACGCCATTTTTCATTCTCGGCTCGGATTAGGACATTGAAATGAGACGGTTTTATGGGGAGATTTGAGGGGAAAATAGGTATTTACAGAAATAAGGTCATTTTGGGATTTTGAGTCCATCCCTATGCTGGTATTTGAACGGAAATTAGATTAGAGAAATGTAATTTTTCTTAAGGAACTATATCTTTGGCCAAGCTACAGTATCTACTAGATATAAAGCAGAAGAGACGTCTGTCCATCGGTTCGTCTGATCGTCTATTCGTCTGTCCGTCTGTTCGTCTGTCCGTCTGTCCGTCTGTCCGTCTGTCCGTCTGTTCGTCTGTTCGTCTGTCCGTCTATTCGTCTGTCTGGCTATTCGTCTGTCCGGCCGTCCGTCTGTCCGGCTATTCATCTGTCCGTCTGTCCATCTGTTTGTCTCTCCATCTGTTTTTCTGTCCGTCTGTCCGTCCGTTCGTCTGTGCGCAGCCATTGGCAAAAAGGGGCAGGACTTAGATCGCGAACTTAGATCGTAAAACTGGTTCCGCTGGTTCTCGATAATTCTACAGTACTTTGAAAAGTTAAAAAACAAGTTAAGACTTCAAACTTAACAAATAAGAAAGCTTTTAAAGAAATCAGAAAAGAAATGAGAATAAATGAAATGAAGAATAAAAATGATTAAAGATGGATCGTTTTATTTGAGCTATAAATGCAAATTTGCCAAAAAGTTGCCAAAAATTGCCTAATTTAGATAAATTTGGAATAAAATTTTGCAATAATAGCTAAAAAATTTGGAAATATCGTTCTGGTCTAGGCTCTAGGTAAACCTATTTAAGGTTTTATCTGTTTAATAAGTTTTGTAATTGTTATACTAACTATTGTAGAAAAGAACAGAGAACATCAGTGAATCCGCCTTTTTTTTCGCCACTTTTCAATCATTTTTTTCTTAGCGCTGGTTAATGCTAAAAATATGTGTTATATCTCAAAAAATCACCCATTTTCTCTACTTTAATTTGATACTAAAGCGCGTCGAAACAAACGTACCGGTGTCAAGATATGAGCGTTTGTTTGAGAGTAAACTTAGATTACGCGACGCGCCTATAGAAGGGGGAGGGGGCGGGGCTTCTATTAAAGTATTGGCTTCTATTTACGGTAAATTATGATCTAGAAAGAGTTTAGTGAAGAGTTTAGACATAAACATAGACAAAACATAATCTGAAACATTTGAGTGTCAAGGATTGAATGACAGAAATGAGTGCTGTCCCCTGTGCCGATCCCTTTCTTCCCAGGGTGTGTGACTCACCAAATTCTTTTCTTTTCTTTTCTTTCACTCCCCCTTCACTCAAAACCCCAGACACCGGGTGGTCAAAGCAATTCTTCTTTCACAGAAACGCGCAAGAAAAAGCAAATGACCACATCCCGTGAAATCCTTGTTGTAATCGCTTTTCGAGGTCAAGAAAAGGCCGATTGAGGAATTTGCATGATGACTAAGGTGTGGATTTTGAAATCTTTATGAATAGTCATACGTGAAGTAGCTGTAAGAAATATATTTATACTTTGATCTTTATAATTTCTTGTGAGACCGTGGTTCAATGGTAGATGTCTTGAAAACGCACAATTTATCAAAACTTTCCCTTAGCAAACTTTGCTCAAACTGGAGCAACCTGGCACTATCAGCAACCTGGCACTATCACACTCCAGGAATCAAATCTGTAGAGAAAAGGAACAAATCTTTATCAAAACTTTCCCTTATTAGGGCAAACTTCGCTCAAACTGGAGCAACCTGGCACTATCACAATTACTTCAACACTTCAACACTTCAACACTTGCGTGTGAAAACAAAGGATGAATAGAAAAGGGAGCACACAAATGACTCAAAAAAAAAAGCTCAAATAATGGGTTTTTAAGTACACAAGCTACGACAAACGGACAACTGAATATCGTCCAGTGGCTGATTACGATAGTTTATCCATCAACTTTGAATCTTAACTTGTATATTGAATTTTGACTAACTGCAGAGCAGTGGCAATTCGCCACAGTAGCCATGAAATTTAAAATTCAAAGCTAAAAGCTATTTTAGTACTTTTTCCATTCATTAAAGGCAATGATTTTTAAGCTTTTTAGGCTATTTAAGCTATTTTATAAAGCCAAGAACAAAATAGTAAAAGAATTCATGAGAAATTTTGAGAAGTTATATGGATTAGATAAGCTACAAAGTAATGCAAAGCCTTGTTTCGCTTGATCACAAATATTTGTCACTTTATGTGAGTCTTTTCCAAAACAAAAGAGCAAGCGATGATTGGATTTGGGATTTTATGAGGCAAAATGAGAAATCTTAGAATTTTGGTGTATCCGTGCAAGTTATGTAAAGCAAAATTAACTATAGTAGCCAGCCTAAGTGCGACTCCCAACTTTGAGAGCTTGTTTGAAAAGTTTGTGAGTTCCTATCGGTTAGATAATGGGTACACTGCTACAGGAGACCCATTCAACATTTATCTGTAAAATTTTTGTGGGAATCGGTTATCTTTTGAATGAGCTATACCCTCCAGAGTGTGTATGAGTAATTTTGACGCACCCTGTAGTTAACAAATAAATAATCTGTGGGAAATGATTTAGAATAACTATTAGATTCCCAACATATTCATTGAGAAGCTAGATTGAAAGCTAGCCAAAACTTAGCTCCTCTCAGTAAGCAGCTCGTTTTTCTTATGCTCATGTAAGATAGAAAAACAACAACAGAATTGTTGATCCCATAGTTCCCATGGGATAAAGTTTTTGACAAAGATAAAGACAGGATCCGATGTGACAAAGAACAACAACGCGTTCCTCTTTGTCACAAATATCAGAAATATCACATGCGATCGTTGCAACATCAGAAATAAGTCCAAAAAAGCAAATTTCCGCACAGAAAAGAAGAATAGACTCAATTTAAGTCTAAATCTGATTCTAAATCTAAGTCTGACTCAAAATTTCGATAAAAAACACATCCTTGGAATATCAAATGTAAAGTTTTTAAAGAAAAATTTCAAAAATCCTTTGAGCGAATGCTTTCATGAAACGCCTGATTGTCTCTCTGATTGTCTCTTTTTTTGACACCGGATTCACATCACACTTCCGTCAATTTTAACGACTCCGCAACAAAAAAGGGCATAAAGCGCCAACGTCAACCCATCAAAAAAGAAATGTGAAACATCAAAGTGATAAAAATTAGAGAAAGAGAGAGTGAGTGCTTTGATTTTTCGAAAATCAAAATCATTTTCATTCAAAATATTTTGCAGAATAACTATTAGATTCCTAACATATTCATTGGGAAGCTAGATTGAAAGCTAACCAAAACTTAGTAAGCAGTAAGCAGCTCAGTAAGCAGCAGCTCAGTAAGCAGCAGCTCAGTAAGCAGCAGCTCAGTAAGCAGCAGCTCAGTAACCAGCAGCTCAGTAAGCAGCAGCTCAGTAAGCAGCAGCTCAGTAAGCAGCAGCTCAGTAAGCAGCAGCTCAGTAAGCAGCAGCTCAGTAAGCAGCAGCTCAGTAAGCAGCAGCTCAGTAAGCAGCAGCTCAGTAAGCAGCTTCTCAGTAAGCAGCTTCTCAGTAAGCAGCTTCTCAGTAAGCAGCTTCTCAGTAAGCAGCTTCTCAGTAAGCAGCTTCTCAGTAAGCAGCTTCTCAGTAAGCAGCTTCTCAGTAAGCAGCTTCTCAGTAAGCAGCTTCTCAGTAAGCAGCTTCTCAGTAAGCAGCTTCTCAGTAAGCAGCTTCTCAGTAAGCAGCTCGTTTTTCAAAAACCTCAAAACTAGGGCACGCGCCAGGCTGCCTGTGCGACTCTCAACTTTGAGAGCTTGTTTAAAAATCTTGTTTAAAAAATCGAGACCGCGAAAAATCAGGGAGAATCTTTGAAGATTTGCAAAATTTTGGTGGAAAAATTTTACAGCCTTTATCTCACTGTCAATCATTTCGGTGAAATCGTAGTTTTTTTTAGTTTTTCCTTTTAGTTTTTCCTTTTTGGTAAAGCTTTTTGGCAAAAGTGTACTTTAGAATTGAGAAAATTTGAGAGTTTATGAGGTGTACTTTGAGCAAAGAGTTGCAAAGTTGCTTTGCAAAGTTGCAAAGTTGATTTTGCATTTAATCGCTTTTAAGATAATCAAAGTTTAGGTTAAATTTAGCTATTTTAAAATACAGCCTTTCTCTCATGAGAAACCAGGTACCTGTTAACCTATACCTGTTAACCTATACCTGTTAACCTATACCTGTTAACCTATACCTGTTAACCTATACCTGTTAACCTATACCTGTTAACCTATACCTGTTAACCTATACCTGTTAACCTATACCTGTTAACCTATACCTGTTAACCTATACCTGTTAACCTATACCTGTTAACCTATACCTGTTAACCTATACCTGTTAACCTATACCTGTTAACCTATACCTGTTAACCTATACCTGTTAACCTATACCTGTTAACCTATACCTGTTAACCTATACCTGTTAACCTATACCTGTTAACCTATACCTGTTAACCTATACCTGTTAACCTATACCTGTTAACCTATACCTGTTAACCTATACCTGTTAACCTATACCTGTTAACCTATACCTGTTAACCTATACCTGCTAACCTATACCTGTTAACCTATACCTGTTAACCTATACCTGTTAACCTATACCTGTTAACCTATACCTGTTAACCTATACCTGTTAACCTATACCTGTTAACCCATACCTGTTAACCTATACCTG